ATACTGTAATTTTGGATACACGTCATGCCATTAAACAACGAGCAAAGATAATGGCAAGTGGAGTTACCAGTACGTACAACATGTCATACTAAGCTAACTAATCTCTTCTTATTGGTCGAAGTTAAAGTCAAATTTATATACTATAACGACCCAATATTCATCCAACACAACTTAGAGTATCCCAATTACAAATGTGACTAGAAAAAAGAATATGAGAAAGAAGAAAAAAAAGGTAAAAAAAAAAAGAAAGTTTGATTAAAAAATTAAAAATTAAAACATCAGCTTTTAAATGCACTATGTGCCGCGAATCACGGAGGTGTCATTTTTCCAAGCAGGCCCTAAATGCTAAGTCCTAAACCATCTTCTCTTGCAAAGACCTAAAAACTTATATCTCCTCTTTATCTCTACTCCACATCAGCCTTCCTAAAAAATCACATTAAGAACTTCTAATCGGGATGCCCTTATAATCAAACAAAAAAATTATGCCCATAGCTTAGGTAATTGGTCAGACTATAATTTGACAGGTGAGCTGATTGCGCTACTCGTAAGTAGAATCCAGTGAAATTAGGATTACTACGGTGAAACTGGAATCACCTAAATTTTTTTTTTTTAAAAAAAAAAACAAAAACTGTTAAGTTTTGGCCTTTTCACTCGTTAGTCCCCGCGTGATGCTTGCACAATTATACACCCGGAATTGCGTATAGTGTTTGTATATGTAAAGAGAAGAAAAAGGAGGAGGAGAAGAACACCAAGTTATAGTATAACCATCATGTAAGTGTGTCCCTTTCATTCATCTTCACTCACTTTATATAGTGGTCATATACAACCTTTCAAGTACACAACATCAATACATGATTAAATGATAAGCAAATGAAAGGTCTAAATAGTTTAATGGCCATAAATATAAATATTTACAACACTCCCCCTTGGCCATTAAATAATTATACTCATGCCTCGTTAAAAACCTCGCTAGAAAAACCCTGTGGGAAAAACTTAGTCGAGGAAAAGAGTACATGTAGTATCAATCATGTGTTGCATCGGTTGCCTCGTTAAAAACCTTAGCCTAAGAAAAACCCAGTGGGAAAAAAAAAAACTTAGCTAAGGGAAAAAGAGTACAACCATAAGCCTTCTGGGCATCATCTTTAGGATTTAGAAGTCTCCTAGACCGAGTTTATCGCTCCCCCTGAAGACAACAGTCTTCCTAGACTCCGCATCCCAATTTTATAAACATACTTCTCAAAAGTGGATGTAGGCAGGGACTTAGTGAACAAATCTGCCAGATTTTCACTAGACCGAACCTTTTCAATGAGTATTTCACCACTCTTCTGGAGTTCATGTGGGTAAAAGAACTTAGGAGCAATATGTTTAGTAAGACCTCCTTTAACGTACCCGTTACTCATCTGTGCAACACATGCCGCATTGTCCTCATATAAGACAGTCGGGGAATCAACATTGCTCATTGTTCCGCATGAGCGATGAATATGCTGTATCAGTGATCTCAACCATACGCATTCGCGTGCGGTTTCATATAAAGCAATTATCTCCGAGTGATTAGATGAGGTAGCAACTAAGGTCTGTTTAATGGACCTCCAAGATATAGCTGTACCTCCACAAAGAAAAACATAACCATTTTGCGATTTAGCAGTATGAGGGTCAGATATATAACCAGCGTCTGAATACCCTTTCAAAGTAATGTCCTGGTTGTTTTCAAAATAAAGACCAAGGTCTTTTGTCCCTTGGAGATATCTAAAGATATGCTTTATTCCACTCCAATGTCTTCTGGTAGGAGATGCACTAAATCTAGCAAGTAAATTCACTGAAAAGGCAATATCAGGCCTTGTGCAATTAGCCAGGTAAAGCAAGGCTCCAATAGCACTTAGGTAAGGAACTTCAGGTCCTAGAACCTCCTCATTATCCTCTTTAGGTCTAAATGGGTCCTTTTCCGCTTCAAGGGATCGGACCACCATTGGGGTGCTAAGGGGATGAGATTTATCCATATAGAATTTCTCCAATAATTTATTAATGTAGTTGGCTTGGTGAATGAAAATTCCATTTGGAAGATGCTCGATCTGCAGGCCGAGGCAGAACTTGGTTTTTCCCAAGTCTTTCATTTCAAATTCTGCTTTTAAGCATGAACATGCTTCTATAAGGTCTTCCTTTGTTCCAATAATGTTCATGTCATCGACATAGACAGATATAATGCAGAAGCCATTAGATGACTTCTTAATGAATATACAAGGGCAAATATCATTTTTAACATATCCCTTCTTCAGGAGGAATTCACTCAGATGGTTATACCACATTCTACCAGATTGCTTCAAGCCATATAATGACCTTTGAAGTTTGATGTTATACATGTTTCGATCTTTATCCCTCATATTGGAATTTTGAATACCCTCGGGTATTTTCATGTATATATCAGCATCTAGTGACCCATAAAGGTAAGCTGTCACTACATCCATCAACTGCATATCTAATTTCATACTTACTGCCAATGATATTAAATAGCGGAATGAGATGCCATCAATAACAGGAGAGTATGTTTGATCAAAATCAATTCCGGGTCTCTGCGTGAACCCCTGAGCTACCAATCTCGCTTTATATCTAACCACCTCATTGTTTTCATTCCTCTTCCGTACGAATACCCACCTGGATCCTACTGGGATCACATCTTTTGGGGTAAGTACGGTGGGACCAAAAACTTTTCTTTGATTAAGCGAGTTGAGCTCTGCCTCAATTGCCTGTTTCCACTTCAACCAGTCAGAGCGCTTCCGGCACTCGGTTATTGACTTTGGTTCTGGATCCAGATTATTTTGTGGAATATTACAGGCAACTGCATAGACAAAAGTGTCGTCGACGACTATTAAATCTCTGTTATATGTTTCTCCTGTATCAACAAAATTTATGGCCGTTTCTATATTGACATCAACCAGATCATCGTCATTTCTCAAAATATTTTGATCTGGATGTTCCGCATTCCCAGTGTTCGTATTATTTAGAGCACATGCAGGTTCATGGGTTCTCCGTCTTCGGGACGGTCGTCTTCAGGACGGTTAACATTTTTCTGGAGTGACTGAGATATTTTACCAATTCTCGTCTTCCGTGGATTTAAATCTTTTGCACCAAGTGGTCTCCCGCGCTTCTGGCGATGGGGAGTGTCAGTGTGCATACTTGGTCCCACGGGGACTTCAACTCTCGAAGGAGCATTCACAGCAGGGATATGGGACCTAGTCACTCCTCTGTTATCAGTAAAAGCATCTGGCAGGTTATTTGCTAAATTTTGCAAATTAATAATTTTCTGAACTTCTAGTTCAGTTTGACTAGTACGTGGGTCTAGATACTGAAGATCATTTTCATCCCATGAGATTTCTCGGCATTTCGTTAAATAAGGTCTTTTATCTCCCCCTAATGCCGGAAAATGATCTTCATCAAAAATGCAGTCAGCGTACCTCGCGGTAAACTGATCTCCTGTCATGGGCTCTAGGTATTTAATGATGGAAGGAGATTCATAACCAACATATATACCTAGTTTTCGTTGCGGGCCCATGGAGGTACGATTTGTAGGTGGTATGGGGGTATAAACTGCACACCCAAATACACGCAGATGGGAAATGTTAGGTTCTACGCCACGTAGTAGTTGCAAGGGGGAATAATCATGATATGCACTAGGTCGGATTTGAATTAAAGCTGCAGCATGTAATACTGCGTGTCCCCAACATGAGACTGGTAAACCAGACTTCTGCAGTAATGGTCTAGCGATTAATTTAATACGCTTAATCAGAGACTCAGCCAAGCCATTCTGAGTATGGACATAAGGTACAGGATGTTCCACTTTGATGCCCAAGGCCATACAATAATCATTGAAAGCCGTTGATGTGAATTCTCCAGCATTATCCATTCTTATTGATTTAATGGGATAATCTGGGAATTGGGCATTCAACTCAATAATTTTCGCAACAAATTTAGCGAAAGCTTTGTTCCTCGTGGACAGTAGACTAACATGAGTCCAACGAGTGGAAGCATCAATAAGGACCATAAAATATCTAAATGGTCCAGAAGGTGGACTAATAGGTCCACAAATGTCGCCCTGCAATCTCTGCAGAAATATAGGCGATTCATGTCCAACCTTAGTACGCGACGGGCGTACAATATATTTACTTTTCGCACAAGCCACACATGTAAACATATTTGGCGAAAGTACCTGAGATCTAGACAGGTTATGTCCAGCAGAATTAGATATGATCCGACCCATCATATTCTGCCCAGGATGACCCAGACGGTCATGCCACATTTGAAAAGAATGTGGATTTTTTAGTTTCATGGTAAGTGCCACAAATGAATCATTGGGTTGTATATTGGTATAATATAACCCAGAGGATAAAGAGGCAAGTTCCTCAACCTCCCGCTTTTGACCAGTGATCAACTGAGTCATGGTCAAGAACTCCTCTTTGTTCTTAGTCTTGGTTTCAATATGGAAACCATTTGAACGAATATCCTTGAAACTCAGCAAGGTTCGTTTAGATTGAGGGTACAACAAAGCATTTTCAATTAGTAGCTTTGTACCCTTAGGGAGGATGATGGATGCTCTTCCGGAGCCCACTATTTGTACCTGATCATTAGAAATGGTAGTAATATTACTACTTGATTTGTTTAAGGTACGAAAAAACCTCATATCCGTTAGGATAGTATGCGTGGTTGCACTATCCACCAAACACAATGTTGGTTCATGCTCCATTGTGCGAACAACAACTTTGTAATGTTGTAAGATCTTCGGGGTTACTTCTCGAACAGTGGTTGTTCGTTACTAATTAACCAATGCCTTGGTACAAAAAATAGCATGTGAAGGTTAAAAAAAGAGGTGAACCATTCATCATGATAAAATAGAAAACATAGAAATCAAGTCATAAAACGATATGAAAAAAAAAACATAAGTTCATAATAATCCAAAAAAAAAAAAACGATACGAAAAATAGGTTCATAAACCAAGAGCATAAGACAGATCATTCTTGATCACCAAAGTCTTCAAGCTCATATTTTAAAAGATCATCATCATCATTCATCACTGCATTTGCTTCAGGCAAATCAGTGTTGGTGTGATGAGATTCCTTTCTTGACGGTTGCTTATCATTTTTCTTTTGCGTCATTTTGTAAGCTTCAACCAGATGCTTTGGTGTACGACATGTACGAGACTAGTGTCCCGTACATCCACACCGATAACATGTTTGTGACCTTGATGAACCTTGATCACTTTGTTTCTTATCTTGGGCCCGGGAGTCATTGTTGCCTTTGCCTTTACCACTTCGATTGTTTCGACCGTGACCTCTACCACGACCCTTTCCTCGACCCCTTCTAGAATTGCTTCCCTGGGCAATATAATGTGCTTCAGGCGCGGGGGCAGACCCATCAGGTCGTGCATTATGGTTTTTCGTCAACAACTGGTTGTGCTTCTCGGCCACAAGAAGTGCAGATATCAAATCAGAATGCTTTTCATAATTCTTTGCCCTGTACTGCTGCTGGAGTACAAGGTTACTCGCATGAAAGGTAGACAGAGTCTTTTCAATTAAGTTTGTCTCTGAAACTTCTTGTTTGCAGAGCTTTAGTTGCGAAACTATCTTATGAAGGGCCGAGTTGTAGTCAATAACTGACTTATAGTCCTGAAACCTCAGGTGAAGCCAGTCAAATTGGGCTTGAGGGAGGACAATCGATGACTGCTGGTCAAAGCGGTCCTTCAGGGACTCCCATAATGCCAAAGGGTCCTTTTCAGTCAAGTATTCATTTTTCAGGTCGTGGTTCAAGTGGTGACGTAAGAAAATGAGAGTCTGCGCCTTCTGGGCGTTTGTACACTGTGACTCAGCAACAATGGTTTGGCTTAGTTCTTTAGACGCGAGATGAATCTCGATGTCTAAAGCCCAAGTCAAATAGTTGCTACCGTCAAGTGCGAGCTCATTAAATTCTCTTTTGGCGATAGAAGACATGATCTACAAAACATATATCGTATGGTTTCATATACATTCATAAAATCATATGTTCTCATAGCAAAATAAGGAATTTAATAGGATCTCTAGATGCAAAGCAAACTTCAAGAGATGAAATTGAAAGGTAAAAACTGAAAAACAAATTGACCTTTCAGATTCATGCAAGAGGGAAACTTCCATATTGAAGCATAGCAACCTTATTAGTAACATGCTCATATTGCAGTAATAAATCACAAAATAGCCATGATTAACATAATTTAACAATAGCATCTATGCAATTTAATTTGGATGCTCTTATGCGCATCATACATTATCAATACATTATATTGTGTACGCACATTACATTATCAAAATTCATGTGTACAATGCAAAAAAATGAATTTTGAATATGAATGAATAAAGAAAGTAAATTCTTAGAGATCAAAATAATAATAATAATAATAAAAGACAATACGTATAGAAATCTATTCTTGCTATGTATATGTAATCAATTCTTCCATCATACAATACTTAATCAAGAGGGACAAGACAAGACAATTTTTTTTTTTAAATGTACGAACACACTGTAGAAGCAAAATCACATTTGTTTTTCACAGAAGCAAAATAAAATAGAAATATATATATTACAAAATTTCGATTATGACATACATCCAAAATTTTGATTATAACATACATCCAAATAATTCATTTATGACATGCATCCAAAAAGATTTAGAAAAAAAAAAAAAAACAGTTTATCTAAAGAAACAATCCATTTTAATTGTAATTGCTATTCAAAAACAAAATTAATGAACCATATTCTATTTTCACAAAGAGAAGGAATTAAAACTTTCTAGATGCAAAATTTTCACAAAATATATAAATATCTATTTTTTTTTTTTTTTGGGAAAATATATACAATCTAATAGTGGATTATATACACACATTATTTATCATATGAAAGTAAATTTCAAGAATACAAAGGATCAAATATAATCATTATGAGCCAAATATGCAGTACGTACATTTCTTCCGAAGAGACAAAGATTTTAGATTTCCTTATTCAAGAATTTGCAAGCATATATACAAACTATGCGTACATATACAATATCATACTTATCTAGACAATATAATATAATATATTAGGAAGATAACCAGGCATATTGTGTTCATATATTTCATTCAATTCGCAGGATATAGAATTGGAAAAATATATTCATGAATTTACACAAACATACATATATGAGCCAATATGTGCAATTCATATTTCAAATTTCAGAAGAATATGTATCATATAAAACAATATCTTCAAAAGGAATCAAAAGGCATATAACCAATAATCATATCCACATATCCATAGAACACAAAATATGCAATTATAGGCATTTTTGGCAACTAGGAATGATAAAAAAAAATTAGCAACATTGTTCATGCCAGCATGTGTATTTGAACAAATAAACATGGCAGAATATTTATATGCATTTTTGAATAAAATATTGTATGCAATATTTTCAGTTTATGTTATAAAGGATACGCATAGCATTTACAGACAATGCATATAATTCAATCATACAGAGTACATATTTTATTAACAACAAATATGCACTTTGTAAGAAAAGTAATGTATAAAGCATACCGTTCACCGAAGAGCGTGCTAGATAACGTGTTAAGTTTTGGCCTTTTCACTCGTTAGTCCCCGCGTGATGCTTGCACAATTATACACCCGGAATTGCGTATATATATATGTATGTGTGTTTGTATATGTAAAGAGAAGAAAAAGGAGGAGGAGAAGAACACCAAGTTATAGTATAACCATCATGTAAGTGTGTCCCTTTCATTCATCTTCACTCACTTTATATAGTGGTCATATACAACCTTTCAAGTACACAACATCAATACGTGATTAAATGATAAGTAAATGAAAGGTCTAAATAGTTTAATGGCCATAAATATAAATATTTACAACAAAAACAATAATTTTTGTAGTTTCAAACACGTACATGTGATGCCATAGTGCCACTGAACAAAGAGCAAAGATCATGGGAAGTGGAGTTGGAGCACCTCAAGCCAATACACGTCATAATAAGCCAAGTAATCCCTTCCTATTGGCAAATTATTCTATATATAAATAGTTAGTTAAGGTTCCCTGTACCCAAAGTTAAAGATCGAACTCTTGACCTTTGGTTAATGATAAATGAGTTCCTTACACTCAACCACATCATCCAGGTTATCAAAAACTAATTCTGATAATTTGTAAACTTTGCTTTTATATTTATAAAACTCTAAACTTTTTTTTGGTAGCCCAGAGTTTCCACTTAGAAACACAGGCTAATTTTATCGCTGAATTGTAAGCACCTCTATTGGGTGAGATAGCTAGCCTGGAGAACTTGACATTTGATTAATGATAGATGAGTCCTTCCACTCAACCACACCGCATGTTATAAAACTCTAAACCTTAATGCAATATAATTAGTACAACAATGGTTTATATTATCTATACTCATCAAACTACAATAGATTACAAAGCCTAACAATCAGATACTAATTTGTGGTAATCCTAGGTTCTAAAACGTAACTCAATGTCTCAAAACATCTGTGTTGAGACTTACTAGTACGATGCAAAGTAGGCAGGTATCTTTGTCATTTTCTTCTAGGAGGACATTTCGTCTGGTCATTTTCCTCTGCTTTCGAGTTGTGCAACAAATACTTTAATTTCCTGCATACATAAACAAATGGATCTATGAACTGTCCTCCTGGCACCGACTACTATGAAAAGAACAAAACTTGATCCTTTTAAAGCTAATTTACTCATTTCTCAAGCTCTCATGGATGCCATCATTTTTTGCAATGCCATTTGGTGTCATTCCTCCATTATCAGATAATAACAATTAAAAAACAATGTTTTAATTTTTCTTTGTTACTTTCCTGTCATGACTCATGAGTGGTAGAGTGGGGTGAAACACTGCATGATTCTCGTAACTCAAAGTCACAGTTCAGAATTTCAGTTATGATTGGCAAAATATGTAGAAAATTTGATAATTGTAGGCCGAATATGAAAGATGCAATAGTCGGGGACCAACAACGGAAATTACTCGAGAACAATAATTAAAATATAATTCAAATTTATACTTAAACTTAAATTAAAGTATTTGTATAACATGCATTTTTTTAAGTTAATAACAAATAGGGAAAACGGTCAAATAAGCCCTTAAACTTTATCTAAAAAGTCAATTACATCCCTAAATTTTTAATCGCCATCTACTAGAGAAGGCGACCAGTTGAACGACTTCTCCATGGAAGGTGACTACTGGACGCCTTCTCTGAGTGAGAAGGTGACCGAGCGACCAACTGGTCGCCTTCCGCCAGCGTCGCCAGTCGCCGAATTTTCACCGGATATGATGCCTGAACTGAAATGACGTGTAATCGAAGGTCATTTACCATTTCTTAGGCTTCATTGCCTAAATTGAACATGTTAAAGAGTGTAATTGCACTTTTTTAAATGTTTAGAGACCAAATTGACTTTTCAGGTAAAATTTAGTGACTTATTTAACAATTTTTTCTAAAAGATATTGAATTTGAATCCCGAAAATGTAGATTTTAGAGAGTTCTTTGTCATCCTTAAGGTTCAATGCAGGGTACATAAAACATTTGAGATTGGGCCACTATTTATAGAAACAAACAGGCTTAGCAATGTAATTGGGCCACTATTTGACTAATTGGTAAATAATAATGGATACAAGGGAGTAAATGGGCCACTATATTGTTTCCTACTTGCTAGATTTTTTATTTATTTTGCTTTTAATTGCACTAATATACATAAATAATTATTTTAAGGGAAAATGGCACTTTTTCCCCCTGAGTTATATACTTATAGCACTTTTCCCCCCTCAATTATTCAAGTGGCTGTTTTTCCCCCTAAAATGTTAAATGGACATATTTACCCTTAAAATAAATATTTTATTTATTTTTCTTCTCCAACAAATTATGACCATAATTTGGTTCAAACCAAATAAACACTATAGCAACCAAACCGAAATATTCCAATTACAATTTAGAATCGAAAATTGATATTTAGAGTTTATTAAAATCCCGGAATGGACGGTTCATGTTCCGAACTGAAAAAATAAAATACATTTATTGTTGAATTTAGATTATTTTTAAAATAAAAATAAAATTTTAAAATAAAAACGGTTCAAAATCGCGAATCGGGTCCGGAACCGCTGGTTCACGGTTCAGGATCCAATTTCTTTGATTTATAATTTTAATAAATTGAAATCCAAATATTGGGTTCTAGATCTGAATCATAACCGAAAACTTTTAATTCGATTGCTATAGTGTCCGATTCAGTTCGAACCGAATCGTGGTCATCCCTACGTATACGCAATAATTTGTTGGAGAAGTAAAATAAATAAAATGTTTATTTTAAGGGTATAAATGTCAATTTAATATATTAGGGGGAAAAACCACCACTTTTAGAATAATTGAAGGGGCTAATGTGCTTACCTAAATAATTGAGGAGAAAAAAGTGCTATAAGTATATAACTCAGGGGGAAAAAGTGCCATTTTCCCTTATTTTAAAAAAAAAAGTAATAAAAATGAATGCTGCATTAAGGAGACAGTACAATCCAAATTACTTAGCTAGATTTATGCACCAAAAAAATGCTTATTAAAAAAAAAAAACTAAATAATGTGTTATCTTCAAATATCCACTTTTCCATTTTAAAATTGACTGAATTTGACAATTTTAATTTTTCCGATCACCACTTTCATTGATAGCTAGAACAAACCATTATCCACCATTCTAAATAATTTTTTCTCTTTTAATTTTTTTTTTAATCAAATTGAGAGATTATCTGCTCATATCTCACTTAAGAAGATAACATCAATGGATTGTTTGCATATGTTAGACTGAGTCTACGGCTCAAAAACATGTGGGTTGGAAGATTGATGGCATATTATTGGCTTTAGTTGCTTTCTTGCCGAAAAGAGTGCATTGACCCAATGGCACGGAGACCTGTCTATTTGTGGTTTCTTGTCATTTTCCTCTTTTATTTCTTCCAAGTGGATTGTGGTAAGAAAATAGCTTGGAGAGTAGTTATATGGTCAATTTGTGAAGGTTTATTGTTAATTTACATATATCTAATAGATGTCGATAAGGTTATAAGACAGTTTAATTGGTTAAATAACTTAAATTGATAAGTTAAATAGATAAAATCTAAAAGGATTATTAACAGGAGATTCACAAGATAACTCAACTTACCTTGTAGAAATTTGACTAAGTTTGCCTACCCGTCTACCACACCATTAAACTAGTCATTGTAATGGTCTAACAATACACATACCTCTTGCCCAAGGCCACGCCCACCAACCAAAGAGCACTATGCTATCATAATTATATTGTATGTTGTAGTGTCGACATGACACAAGCTACTAAGATTTACCATTCTATTATCTAAACATCTTTCATCTTATTCGATCTACATCTCATTTGTACATTTTTATGATAGGTTATTACTGTATTGAGCTATTTAACCCCGATCTTTTTTAGTCGACTCATCTCTCAATTATTTTGTATTCAAGTCTTATAACATCCTTATCATATTTATCAAAATATAGGAACCACTACTCTTTCTTCCCTTATTTCCATCCTTTGGACCTAAATATAGTAAAAACAGATCAGAAACTTTTCTCTATCAAATATTAAAGAGCCACACTTGTGTGAGACCGACTCACGGATCCTTATTCGTTAGATGGGTCGGGTCGGGTCGCATCAACATGCAAATGTCATACTTATATGCTCATATGTAATACTAATCATGAATAAAAATTTTGTTACTTATAAGAAAAAATGTAAAACTTTTGCATTTTGATGTAAAAGTATTATATTTTCTATCAAAAGCATTACATTGTCTATAATAAGTAATATTGGCAAGTGCTCCTTACTTATAAGGGAAAATATAATACTTTTAAGGAAAAATGTAATATTTTTAAATCGAAATGTAAAAGTATTACATTTATCCTTATAATAACAAAAATTTTATTCCTGATTAGTATTACATTTGAGCATAGAAGTATACAGGGACGGAGCCAGAAATTCGGTTGAGGGGGGCGAAACAGTACATACGGATTCGGAAAATTTTTCCAGAAAAGGCGAAACATTAAAACAAAAGAGATAATTTAAAAATAAATAAATAAACTACCTAAGAAATATAATTGTAAATATTGTTGGATATGGACGAAAAATAAAACACATCGAAACTTTATAAAAAATATTCATAACAAAATATGAAACATAATTAATAAAATAATTTGAATAGAAAACACATTATAAATTACACATCTTATTATAGAGTGTGTGCATGTAATATTAAAAGCTATTAAAAAAGAATTGTAAAACTATGTTGATGCTAAGATTGGAACCCTTAACCTTATTATTACCAAAGATGTGCTCTACCACCTACTCTAACTCAATTTTTGTTAACATTTTATAGTTTTTTTATACTAATACTAAAACATGTACTATATATACATATATACATACAACTACTATATATGGGTGGGGTGGAGGGGAGGGGCAGCCGCCCCCCCCCTGCCCCCCCTCTCCCTCCGTCCTTGGAAGTATATCATTTATGCGTATAAATATTACATTTTAATTTTGACCCGACCTATCTCACGATGAGACGGTCTCATACAAATTTTTACCAATATTAAAAGGCTGGTTATATGGTTTGAGCAATTTGTGGGCATATATGCTTGATGAAAAATAATGCATCTGACCCGCCGGTGACCTAACTTAAGCTTCTGTGTACGTACGCACACTCAATCTCTACTGGCTTAGTGTTTGGTGTCCAACTCCACCTTTCATTATCTCAGCTTCAATTTGAAGCCTACTCAGCAATTGCTCCAAATCATCATTTATTTGTTTTAACAAATACCATAACCACAAGAATCACCTACCAGAAAACTCTAGCCAGAAGCCTACTCAGCAATTGCTCCAAATCATCATTTATTTGTTTTAACAAATACCATAACCACAAGAATCACCTACCAGAAAACTCTAGCCGGGTTTATAAATAGTTAATTTGATAACCATAAAATTCTAAATTCAGCTCTATATGAGAGTTGTATATTATCTTTCTTGCGTACAATTACCTAAGTTGATTTTTCTAGTCTCCTTATGGTTATTGGGTTTCGAGCGGATAAAAGCGGACGTGGGGATTATGATCGGGGTGCAGCGTAACTAAGAGAGCCATTCCATTTAGGGCGAGAAAAAATGGACGGGCACGGGCGGTCTGTCGATTGGTCAGACGACGACTACTTCACCTTTTGTCTTGATTAGTATTAGCCGTCTATCACGGAATGGAATAGGGTCCTTTGTATGTCGACTAGGGTTACAAGGCAAATTCAAATAATGACGTCAAATTTTCCTGTAAATCAAGATTGAGTGGATAAAATATAAGTCTCGGTATTTAAAATTACGAGTTCAGTTAAAAGTTAAACTAGTGAAATAACAATTGAAGGGGGGTGGGGGGGGGGGGGCGGGGGGGTGCATTGAGCATCATCTCTCGCAACGTAACAAAGCGTAACAAAGGCTCTTGTTGGATCTGGAAATTAAGTCAAACTGAAGGGCATGGTGTCACATACACAAAATGGATACTACCGCAGTGCGTAATGGATAAATGGCTGTAAAGCGTTGAACACTATTTGTATGTGGACCTATCATTTTAAATTATCATATATATGGAAGATTCGTTCACTCAGAGTGGTATAGGTTTAAACTAACTTTTGGTTCTCTGAGTGCTTTTTAGGTAGTGTTTGAATGAAACAGTTCCACCAAGTTGGTTTTTATTTTTTTGACTTTCAATTACGTGTATAAACCTAGTACACTTATTATAATTATTTTGCATTAAAAGTTTTTTAAAAATTAAAATAAGTCATGAATAGTGCAATTGAACCTAGCAAAAATAAAAAATTAATTCAAATCTCTTAAATCACAAATTATGTTCAATTGAGTTCTAAACATTTTATTTAGTAGGTTAAAGCTTTATGTTTTTGTTTCTAAACTTCATCCATATGTCCAACTAAGTTGCCCATGTAGACATGCTAAGATTTTATGTGACTAATATGTGGGTTGACACATAAGTTTCTAATGCTAAAACGAAGCTTAAGTGTATTTTTTTTTTTTGAAAAAAAAAAACAAAAACAAATAAACTATACACTAAGTATCCACATCAGCAGTAAGAATGCATGTTTTAGCTCAGATGTCATCCACGTAAATAGTAATTTAATAGACTATACACTATAACTCAATTGAACATTTTTTTAGTTTGAATGGAGTTGAGGCCTTTTAATTTAAGGGTCGGGCTCAATTCTCTTGATTTAAGAAGTTTTGACCTTTAAAAAAAGACGTGTACTTATAAAGGGGTCTTTGGTAGATGATTGTTAGCTGATAGCTGTTAGTTGATTGGGTTAGTAAATTTGACTAGTTAATAACATTAGTTGATTGTAGAAAAGTATTTGGTAAATTAGTTATTAGTTATTAGTTGATTACATACAAAATGATTTTATCAAAAAGTTGAATGAAAAAGCTACTTTGGACAGCTCTTTAAATTTTAATATTTTGGATCAATAAGTTGTTACAAAAAATTAATTAATCAAACGCTCATATTAATTGTTTAATCAAGTCAAACAGCTAATAATATTCAAATAAGTCAAAATTGAAGACTATTTATTTTACCAAACAGGACCAAAAAAGTAATTTTATGAATGTTTGGGTTCTGTTATACTTTTATTTAGACAATATAAACGACTTTTATTTAGACAATAAACATTAAAAAATTTATTTAAAAAAAAAAAAAAAAAGAAAGAAGAAGATATAGATTATCACTAAAGGCAATTGTTTATACTTTTTTTTTTTTTATCATAACTACTTTCTCAACTTACTGAAACACAAATAGTCAATACTACCCTAATGAGACTCAAACTCATGACTTTTCATTTGAAGGAGGCACTTAAGATCACAATATCATTGGCTAATACAATTATATTATTATATATAATATACTGAAAATATCAAATACTCAACCCGTCTCATTTTATGTGTTTGGTTTAGTTACCGAGGCTTGACTGGAGTTATTTTTAATCTTTTTTTTTTGAATGCGGAGTTATTTTTAATCTAATTTTTCATAATATTAAATTTAGTATTAGTATACAAAATTTATATATTTAGAAACTACTCTAAAAGTACTATTAAACACACAAATCAAATTTTAAAATAAATAAAAAATACTCACAAAAATAAATAAAGAAGAAATATTTAATTTGACCAATGAATAATAAATAAAATGGAACAGTGAAAGTACAATAATTATAAATGTATCATTGCCATGGTAGACTTTCGTATCAACCTAAATATGAATTTCGTTTTCATCGTCCCACACTCCCACTTGATGCAACAACCAAAAATAAAATAAAAAAGAAAAAGATTACAATTTAGAGAGTGAAGTAATTATCATATACGAAACATAATTATTTAATTAATCCAAAACGGGAAGGACACAAATGTCATTTGTGCAGGAAAAAAAAAAAGGCAGATATTCCAAATAGACTCCCGTCAATCACAGCAGCGTGAGAAACCGGTAACTTTCCCGGCATTTCAAGATCCTCTCTCTCTCTCTCTCTCTCTCGTTTAAACTTCAATCATCAAAGCATTTAAGCATTCAAATCCGAAGACTAAACCTGGGTTGATCTCAAGAACTTTTCAACACGTATTATAACAGAGCATTTAAGGACGAAATTAATGATACAAGTACCTCAACCGCTCTGAAGACGATGGTGAGAGTAAATGACTGGTGATCAAGGGAAGCAAGCTAAGGTATTATTATTACTCTAATGGCGGATAGGAAGAGTGCATTTATTAAGGAGCATGACCTTCCCAACAACCTCTTTATTTATTTCCTCTGCATTAATGGCGGCTCCCCAAGTCAAACATCCTTTTTGATTTGTTTTTTTTTTTTTTTTCCTTTGCATCGGCTAATACGGTCTCTCTTCTCTCTGTTTGCAGAAATCTGATGGTTTGCTTTTTTCATTAACTCGAAGCGCGGTTTATGATAATAATGGGGTTTTACGACATATTCATCGGACTCGCTTTCTTCAACCTTATTCTGCAATGCGTTGTCGGGAATAATGTAACGAGATGTCATGACAAGAAGCTCCCTTACCCATTTGGATTCTCAGAAGGTTCTGGAATACGCCTGAATTGCAGCGGCGACGGGGATGCCAAAATCGGGGGATTTAAGGTTCAGAATCTGACGGCTGACAGTATTCTGGTCAGCATTCCGGTGAGTTGCCGCCGTCGGATTGAAAATCTCTTGCCGCTTAACGGCCGGAACTTTAAGATGTCGTCGCGAAACGGTTTTCTGCTGGAGAATTGCAGCGAGCCGGTGACGAATTGCACGGTGCCGACGAGCTGGGTGGAGAATCGCCTTGGATGGCGGCGGTGTAATTCGACGAATAACAACACGAGTTGTTTCTCCGATGTGGGTAAAGGTGCGAGCTTTCTGAACTACGACCAGCTGAAGAGTTCGAATTGCGCGGTGGTGGTGTCTTCAATCGCGGTGGATAACACGACGGGTCAGAGCTCCGCCGTGTCGCTGGAGCTTCAGACGGTGGAGCTTGTGTGGTGGCTGGAGGGGAACTGTAGCTGCCATCGCAATGCCAGATGTTCAACCGTTGACCTTCAAAACGGAAGCAACGGGTACCGGTGCTCGTGTAATGATGGCTTCGTCGGAGATGGTTTCGCCGGCGGCAATGGTTGCCGGAAAGGTGAGATCTTTTTGGTCAAATTATAACTAAATATTTTTTTTTTTTTTGTTGACGAGAGAAACTCGCAACTATTACTGATATTGTTGGTAAATTTTATATGGGGTAAATCAGTCTATGTTGTCGTAACTGACCAAAGGCCAATAGGTGGCTCTTACTAACAGTCAAATATTATGGTTACCTAGCTAACAGTCTGACTAACTTGGCTGAGATTGTACAATTCTTTTTTTCTTTAATTTTGTTTAAATTGGAATTTGGGGATGCTTTAGTTGAATTTGACTTTAAGCAAAATGATGATGTGAAAGATATGAATTTTGGGTGCCTTTATCCTATGGGCACAACATATGAGCTGGCGATCCATGGAAAACCTAGTTTAATTGTAATATAAAATGAATATAGACTATGTAGTACATACAGAACTTAGAATGGGTCAATAAAGCTTTCTGGGTTTGAATCCATGAAAGTTGCTTTTGAACTTCATAGCTGTTCATTGTTGAATGCTCCCTTAGTGACCTCCAAATTGGACTTGGAATTTAACTCTTAAGATTCCTTTTGCCTCCCATGAATTGCCTGGACTTACATTCTTAGTTCCTTTATCCTGTTTTCTTTTTCTTCGACGCAATTAAACGGGCTAGAAAATCATCATAAAAGATTCAAACTTGCACAAAAAACTTTTGCAAGGAAGATCAACTAACTGAATTTACAGTATCGGTTCTTGGTCATTTCTGGCTATCTTAACATGAAGAAAAGTCATAGTCTTTAGGTGGGTGGAAGGTAGACTAGTCATAAGATAATAACTATTTTTGTTTGATTGGTCAAAGTTGTTTTGTTCTCTTTGCTAAACAACTTCTTGCCATTTCCCCAGTTTCTGGTTGCAATGCTTCCAAATACATGTCTGGTAAATGTGGCGGGACGAGAGTTGGCGTTCTCGTTGGAGGTAATAATCACTAATAAAAGTTTTTAGACGAGATGAAACACATATATACTTCAATACCATATAGAAATGACTTTGGCTCGTGTTTACAGGAGTCGTTGCGGGAGCTGTTTTAATGTCTCTGTTGGCTCTCGTCTACTACTGCATTCGAAGGCGGTCTGCATCTCTGAAGAAACGAATGAGTGCTAAGCGGTTTTCAGAAGCTGCAGGGGGGTCGAGTGTTCTTCTATTTCCCTACAGAGAGCTCGAGAGAGCTACGAATGGTTTTGCTGATGGTTCCCGTCTGGGAACCGGGGCGTATGGCACGGTTTATGCAGGAAAGCTCAACAACAATGAACTGGTTGCTATCAAGAGACTAAGGCATCAAGATCCAGATGGGGTGGAGCAAGTGATGAATGAGATCAAACTTCTATCCTCTGTAAGCCATCCTAATTTGGTTCGTCTTTTAGGTTGTTGCCTCGAGAATGGCGAGCAGATCCTCGTTTACGAGTTCATGCCTCACGGGACGTTGGCTCAGCATCTGCAACGAGAGCCCCGGTCACATCTCCCGTGGACCGTTCGCCTCGCCATTGCCACTCAAACCGCTCAGGCGCTTGCTCATCTTCACTCGGCTGTGAATCCTCCTATATACCACCGGGATATCAAGTCCAGTAATATACTATTGGATTCGAGCTACAACTCGAAGATAGCTGATTTCGGGCTCTCGAGATTTGCAATGACAGATGACTCCCACATTTCCACAGCACCGCAAGGGACCCCGGGCTACTTAGACCCTCAGTACCATCAAAATTACCATCTTTCTGACAAGAGCGACGTGTACAGCTTTGGGGTCGTGCTCGTGGAGATCATAACAGCTAAGAAAGTCGTGGACTTCTCCCGCCCCCACACCGAGATCAACCTGGCAGCCCTGGCAATCGACAGGATTGGGAAAGGGCACATGGACGAGATAATCGATCCATATCTCGAGCCACATAGGGACGCCTGGACACTTTCATCGATCCACAGGGTAGCGGAGCTGGCTTTCAGATGCCTCGCGTTCCACAAGGACATGAGGCCCTCAATGACAGAAGTGGCAGATGAACTGGAGCAAATCAGGCTCAGCGCTTGGGCTCCTGTCGAGGAAAACGTATGCATGACGTCCTCAGTCGCCTCGTCTTGCTCCTCCCCACGCAATGGCAGCGAGAAATCGTTTGGTAGTTCGACTAAGAAAGGCGGGGTGGGAAGTAGGAGGGTGATCCTCCCCCAGAAAGTCATCATTGGCCTGTCTGCCATGGAGGAAATTAAGGATAGTTCTCCAGTTTCTGTGCAGGATCCATGGTCAAGTAAGGACAGTTCTCCAGCCAATACCTTACTGGGTAAATGAAACTGCTAGTTTAGAGTTTAGACACAACAATCTCTATATATATATATAGCTGGCCTGTATCTACTAGTATATTTGAAGCTAAACACCAAACAAGTATAATACTAGTGTTTATTTTTGGCGCAATATACTTACCATTCTGCTCTGATGATGATTTCTCCATGGTGCCCTAAGTGCCTAGTATAATTTTACCAATCTTGTTTTTAGTCTATGATGTATGCTAACATTCTGGGTCATGGGTGGCCCAGAAAACTTGCAGTCATTATGTAAGGGTGTGTACGATAAATTTTACTATAATAATCTGCAAACCAGCGTCACTTAAAACTTGCTTTTAGCACGCTATTAGGGACTTAAGAAAATTGAACATTTTTATGTGTAACTATATGTAAGATTAAGACAATTTTAGCTAAATTGATCAGTGGGTTGGTTACTTCGAATGGAAATAACTTATTGACGATTTGAGCCAATTAATTATAGGTAACCAGTTCGAGCCTCAATGGAGGCGTTATGGCTCTTTGTGCTTCAGTAGGTTGAGAAAGTAATTATGAACAGATACTACAATTTACATATAATAAAGCTATATGGTTGGGAAATAATTAATATTACAATTAATTACCAACATTATTATTACTAGCTATAAATATAAAATAGCCACAACATATATTACTATAAAAAAAAAAACACAACATTTGAAAAATAAAATAGCTATTTTTTTTTTCGCTCATAACAAAGGATTACATTTATTGAATTAATGGAGTTATTAAATGTTATGATATTAGGATTAAGGATTTTGATTCTCGATTAATAGAAAATATGAAACGATGCAATATTAATTAAATCTCTGACTTTACAATGAAAGTCTATTTGATATGCTTTTGTTATTTATGGTGGTTCTTGGGATTACAATATTAATTAAATTTTCGATGAAAGCCTATTCGATATCTGAAACAGTGCAATTAATGCGAGCCTCTACATATAATTTTTCTCCCTCTCAAATGCATCAAAAAAATGGCAGAAGCGAGAAGGAATGAAGAAAGCAAATGTTGCGGGCCGTGGGTCAATTATTGGACTTCAGAATTAAAAAATATTATTTAAGCCATAAATAAAAATTTAAATATATATAAATGTATATATCGTATGGGTCTTTAATGTTTTTCTAGATGCCTAAACTTAGGACTTTTAAAAGACAAAAAAAATACATTTGAATTTGATACTGCTAATTCTACGTAAGCAATATAAATAACACGAGACCAACTAAAGCAAGTAAAATCTTTATTGATCCCAGTAAAGGCCCTAAGTACAATCTACTTGGTTGCTCTGAGTACCGACTGAGTGCGGTCGGGATTCTCTAATAACAACCTATCGATCGTCCAAAAGTCCCCTACACTGTAGCTACTGTGGGCATTTATAGCCGCTGTGCCGGAGACAAGATCCCAGCTGCTCGGCATGTCTTCCACGTAGCCACCACGTGCCATCCTCCTGGGTGCCCTGCCTGTCGATGTAAAGAGCCGCCACGTGTCTTTAGTCAGCTCTCTCGCCGAAGGACTACCGTTCGGGGTTGACACCATCGCTCGGGCAACTCCCGGTCGGTTCCCGACCGGGTTCTTCTCAAGGAGCCCGACCTGTTACCTGCAAAGACAAGGAGAAAGAGACAAAGACTCCTCGGTCGTGGTGAAGCTATGTCGGTCGGGATATTCCCTACCAAGAGCCCCCCAGCCCGGGCCTTTTTGATCAGTCGGGAAAAAACGGGACGGGATGAAGAAGCCCAACCGTCAGGTATTAGACCGACCGGCCAGCTGTCATTCCCCCCTACGCCACGTGTCGGCCTCTGCCGGCCTCGGCGATCCCATCCGTCGCCTCGGATTCAGCGCGGGTCGTGTCAGGCAAGTTGGCCCATTTCCCGCCTAAATGCCCTCCTATAAATAGGCCCTTGAGGCCCTCATTTGAACTTTCCTCACTCTTTCGCATCAGTCGGTACCCTCAGAGAGACCCGAGCGGAGCATCTTAACAAGGCAGTCGAACAAGCAAACTTCAACTTTCAAGCTTCAAACTTCAATCTTCTTCCAATCGGTAAGCTCTTAACCCTCCTCTTTACTTTAGGCTCTCATTTATAGGTAGAACTGCTAGGTCAACTAACTGTCCCGGACGTCTCAAGTCCCTACTAACTCCGACCGACCTTTAGGTAGATCGATATGACGGACTCAGACAGTCAAAACGCCTTGATTGCTGATTACGACGAGGAGGTCGAGCACATCAGCGACGAGGAGGTGGACATTATGTCCTACACTCCCGAAGCCAGCCCCCGAGCAACGTCAGCCCCCGATCGAGCTGTCGAGCACAACAGCGCATCAAGCTCCTCCGGGACGTCGAGCTCCAGCTCCAGCGGATCGGGGAGCTCTAGCGAGGAAGAGGAAGAGAGAGCCACGTCAAGCGGGCGGGGTTCTCCAACCGGGGGCGTTAGGGAAACGCCTACCCGGGTGGTTGGGGACCACCCGGAAGCTGCTCCTCGAGGAGGTGATCGAGAAAACACTCCCGAGCAGACCGCAGAAGACCCGGCCGGGCCGGCCACACCAGCCGTCGAGCTCGAGTTCTTGAACAGCGAGAACGTCGAGCAAGAGATGAGCCTGCTGACCAAAGGCGAGGCGGCTCGGATTGCTGAAATACTCCGGGGTCGGGCAGAATTCGACACGAGCCGGCAGCTGGGAAACGTGATTGAGAGGCATCGGGGCAAGTGGATTGGGATGCACTACGACTCCCTGATGGCCCCGATCGCCATTCCCTTCACCCCCCTCCTGAACGCCTTCTTGGCCTATTACCGGGTCGTCCCGGCCCAGATCTGCCCGAACGCACATCGGATCCTGGTCTGCTTCCCACAGATATGCGCTCGGCACGAGGCCGAGTGCACGATGGAGTTGTTTAACTTCATCTACCAGATCAAGGTTCTCTCGGGCCGCTACGGGGGTGGGTTCCTGATGCTGCAATCCCGGGCCGACATGTGTGCAATCAAGGGGCTGCCCGGGAACAACAAGGGGTGGAAAAACAGGATTTTCTCCCTTAAGTACGAGCCCTGGATCTTCCCGGTCGATCGCGTCTGGAGCACACATTTTCGGAAACAAGTGGTGCCGGACGAGACTCAGGCGCTCAAGGAAACGGTTGCTCGGATCTCGAGCGAGATTCATGAGTACACCATCTTCCGGACGGCTGACAGTCTGGAAGCAGCCCAGCTCCCGTCCCCGACCTACGAGCTAAGGGAGAAGTACCTGCCCGTGCCGATGGGCGTAACGGTCGCCAAGCCCTCGAGGCGAAGGAAGAAAGGTTTAACCCGAGCCGTTTATCCCGAGCTAAACTCTTATATTACGATCGCACTAACTTGGGTTTTCTTCTTTGTTTGTTTGCAGTAATGGCCGAGTTCGGTGATGAGGATGCCCCCCTTCCCCCGCCCGCCAAGATCTCTCTTGGCGGCAAGAAGAAGGCGAAGACCAAACCATCCGGGGAGAAGGAGATCCCCTCCGGCCGACCACTGAGCGCCTCGACCGTGACGACGGGCGAGGGCTTCATCGTCGAGCCCTCCGACGTTCTGATCACTCGGGTGGAGGTCGCCCGGGGAAAGGAGAGGGTCCCCGAGCGGGGAGTGACCGAGGTAGGCGGCATGAAGCGCCGCCGTGATCAGCACAGCCCGAGCCCTTCGGTCGGGCGAGAAAGGGACTCCTCGTCCACGCTGGCCCGGATCGGCAACGCCGCGCCGGTCAAGGAGGATCTGGGGACGATGACCCCGACCCAAGTGGCTGAACGGATCGGCCACGACCTGGCCGAGGTAAGCTCTTCTTAACCAACAGCTTTTTTGTTGAAGTGTTGCTGATCGGGCTAACCCCGAGTGTCTTTTATCTTCGCAGATTTCCCGGGCCGCTCAGCTCCTGCAAGGTCGGGCTATACTGGCCGAGGAAGCTGATCACCACAAGAAGACGGCCGCCTGTCGCTTGAAGGAGATCAAGGAGCTCCAAGCCGAACTGGAGAAAACCCAGAAGGCTTTGAAGAAGAGCGACGAGGACCGGGGTCTCGCCGAGAAGGTCGCCAGCCGGGCGATAGGAGAGGCCAAGGAGCTAAAGGCTCAGCTCGAGAACCCGAGCGAGCTGGTGCGGGCAGCCTTCAAGGACAAGGAGCTGGGCACGGCCTTCCTAACAGCCGCCCGAGGAGATGAGGTCGGGAACGAGTTGATCGTCTCGTTCGGGAAATGGGCCTTTACGGCCGGGAAGCAGAAAATGCTTGAACGCACCCGCAAGCGGTTGGAGGAGGCCCTCGACGCCGATGATCTCCGACTGGTCTTGTCGGCCTTACCCCCGGACGTGGCAGATCCCGGTCCCTCACCCTTTACCCCGACCCCGAAAGCCAAGGCAACCGAGCCTGGGGCTTCGTCGGCGGCTGCCTCGAGCGGAAAAGAGGCGACCGCCAGTGCTCAGGAGGCGAAGAAGTAGATTTAGGCTTCTTTTCTTCTTTTTGTAAGAGACCTTAGTCGGGAGCCCGGTCCCGAGTTGTACCGGGCATCTTTTTTATGAATGAAAAGTTACTTTGCTGAAGTTACGCCGCTCGTCTTCCCTTTCGTACTTTTCCTTTTAAATAACGTAGAAATGCCGATCCTTAATGCTCGACCTTGCGGCCTTATGGCCCGGTCTTGCATAGCTCGACTTGTTCGAGACCCGATCCTATGGCCCAACGGCCCGATCGGAGCTTTGAGATTTCGACGTCAACTTGGCCATACGACCGGGTTTACCCGATCTCGAGGCCTTTGCCGAGAATGGTGAAGATGCATAAGCCCCTACGGTCGGAGTATAACTGAGCGACGGGCCCGTAAGTACTCGCCGTCAAATTGGCCAACCTGAGCGGGATTACCCGGTTCTTAGGCCTTGACGAAATTTTGATGAAAAATACGCAAGCCTCTTCGGTCAGGATGTAACCGAGCGGACGTGGCAGATCCCGGTCCCTCACCCTTTACCCCGACCCCGAAAGCCAAGGCAACCGAGCCTGGGGCTTCGTCGGCGGCTGCCTCGAGCGGAAAAGAGGCGACCGCCAGTGCTCAGGAGGCGAAGAAGTAGATTTAGGCTTCTTTTCTTCTTTTTGTAAGAGACCTTAGTCGGGAGCCCGGTCCCGA